TAACAAGACACTATGTCTTGCCAACTGCTGCTTTTCCCATTGCATGAGACACCTTGCAAAGACCTGGATCTTGGCCAGTTCCAGAGAGGCCCATATTTAGACATTCCAAACTGTCCTGCTGCTAATGGGGAAAACTCAGATGTAACTGGTGTTGACAAATATATCCACACATGATGAGGGGCTTCTTTTGCATTTGTACCAATGTCTATTCACTACATAGTGGGTTGAACAATTTTTATTGCCACTTTAAAGTAAGCCTTGTGCCACATTCTCTATTTGTGTGAACATGCAGTTAAATATAATTTTTCAGTTAGTGTGTTTTGGATAGTCTTTGGATCATCTAAGCACTTCACTGATGATTCTTGTACTTGAACCCTAGGGAAGTGTCTCCTGAGGCAGTACCTCTCCTTTAGGGAGGATATATCTGAGGCATTCACAAAAGTGAAATTGTCAAGAGGGCTTGAGCAAATTTATTTCTAGTTCCATGTATTCATTTAAACTTTTCCTTCTGCCACATTCTGTTCATGTGGGCTATCAAGTTAAATATCAGTTTCCAAGCAGAAAGCTTAATAAACCTCTCTTTCTGTCCTCTCCTGTTTTTATTACAAGCAGAAGCCAATCAGAAACCAGGCAGCATACTAAATGATGCAAAGATTTTAGTTGATGAGTTCCTGATCTAATTGGCCTATCCTCCCCATTAATACAAAACATATCTTTAAAAAAACATTTGGTAATTAGGCAACCACACCAATAAATTTAGTATCATTTAAGAGTTCAGCTAGTTGCTGGTTTGGCCAGTTAAAACAAAATTGTCAACAATTATTGCTATAGTCTGCAGTTGCCTTTAATTAAAATACTGTCACATTATATCATGGCAATTTGTTTCAGTATCCTTTTTAGTTTTAATTAATGAAAGAAAAATAGATTACTCCTCACTTTTTCTTTCAATAAAAAAGACAATAAAAAATTATTACTTTCCCAAAGTACTGTTCTGTATTTAGAGATATATTTAACCATTTTGCACCTGAGTAACTGAAAAGTTAATTTTCAACATTGTTGGGATCAGGTGGATAAACAAAGATTTGTCATTACAAGCTTACTTGTTTGGAAACTCAGGATCCATGTGAGCAGGAAGATATGTTTAAATTATTTTTTTTTTGAGAAACAAAAGAAAAGAAAACTGAAAACAAATTCTTTATCATTTCAAAATGGCAGGAAAATGTTTTTCCACTCGAGGGCTGTTTGATCTCAAGAAATTAACTTTGAATATAATTCTAGATGACATCTGTGAACATTTGTAAATAATTTTCTGAAGTAAACAAAGCAAAATATTTCTAAAAACAAAAAGATTTATTTTATCCTCAAAACATAAAAACCATTCCTGAGCAAAGAAAAGATCAAAGATGAAATATTAAAAAAAATATGTAGTTACTATATGCTGTAGCATACTTATGGGCAATAATGGGTATGTCCCCATTCATATAAATACAGTAGTAAATACTGTATGTTGGTCTGCAGTTGGAAATTCGTCTCCAGCTGTGCTAGTCAAACTCTCTGCCTCAGGGCAGAGAGGATCCCCAGATGAGGCTATGTCGAAGGGCAGATTCTCATCTCAGGAAACAACTACCTGACCCTGTTTTATATGGGGTCTATGGGGAATTTTTGGCCAAGCATACAGGATCAGATATACCACATTAAATTTGGTCTTGTGCCACGTGGGTCCACGTGGGGCACTTGGTAGATATCCTGCAGTTAGACATTCATTGTGGAATTCACTTCTAGCAGTTGATTACTACTTCTATGTGCCACTGGCAAATCTTATGTGTGTTGTTCTTGTCCTAAGTATTATTGTTCATAACCAACCTTCATGTGATTATTCTATTCAGTTCATGTGATTATTCTAGGTTACAGCACTATACAATCTTCACACAGTGTTGCAGGAGTTTTATAACTTATTAAAATGCATAGAAATGCACTTGTTAATTTCAAGCATTAATTTAATTATTACTTATTTTTTTATTCCTGTTGCTAACTGTTATGTCATCTTTTTCTATCAATTTATTTTCCATAAAATTTAATTAAAAATCTACTATCTGTTCACACAGTGAAAAGATTTTAAATTTTTTATCTAATTAAATGCAGGTAACATTGTATTTAAGTTCCATGTGAAATAATGCTTAATGGAAGAAAAAAATTGACAAAAAGAGTTCAAACCAACTTTAGTGAGGATAATTTACATTCCCCTCATTCTAATACCCTTGTGAAAGGCATGAAACCATTTCTTTTTCTAGTTATAAATACTGAGTTAGAACAAAAATCTGTAGCATTTTTCAATAGGTGGCATTTGAACATATGATTTAGTTGCACACATGAATGCCATTTATAGCATAAATTTATGACATGTTATGAAAGATGATATCACAACACATCTTTTTATATGAGTTGTATGTGGATTGTGAATTTTAAATGTTTTTATGTTAAAATTGAAAACAGAGGAAAATGAGATGCATTTTTATCATTTGAAGTGCTTTTATTTCTAGAAAGGAAAAACACTATAGAAACAGCAAAAAAGGTATTTATCATTTATTGAAATGGTGCTATAGCTGAGGGTGCTGCACATAAGCAGTTTGTTACATTCAAAAGTAGAAATTCTTATCTGAAAGACAGAATATTCCAGCAGTCATTGATGATGTCCAAATTAAAATACTGATTAAAAATAATTCATATCACATGACATCATAGAGATTCTTCACATATGAGAGTCATAAGGTATTGAAAACAGTTGGAAAGATAAATCACTACAATATTTAGGTTAAATGGGAAAAAATTTAATGGACCACATTTCTATCTGTAATTCTCTGCTCAAACACAACAAACATTGAAAAGAATGATTACAGGCAATGAAAAATAAATTACTTACAGCAATATAAAGTGAAAAAGGTCTTGGGGAAAATGAAATGTGCCATCATTAACTACTCCAAAAGTCAGTTGGCATATGAAGAGGGTGATACTGTGTATCTGGCATGATTTGAAATGCATTGTGTATTATAAGCTCCTGCTACAAAATCTGACTTAATTTAGACAAGGACTGTTAGATTGATGAAAATCAGCAATTGATGAAAAGTATTCAGAATATTCTAATTGGCAGGGTGCTGACTTTCATCAGATCAAACTTGGTGGAAATTGGTAGAATTTTCATTTTTTTTTTTTTTCCAGTAAGCTTTACCCTGTAAAAGGCCTGGAAGCCACTTGAGGTAGCGAGTTACATTAAGGGCAGTTTAGATGGATAAGAGAGGAAGATAATGATTAACTCTAGACTTGAACAGGTTAAGATTGTAGTGATTGGGGAAACATCTTCATGGGAAGTAGCTGCTTCAGTGGAAGTTACTTCTCACCAATGGAATACAGAAGGAATGTGGGTAGTTTGCTACACTGTAAGTAGCATGGCAGGTCCTAGCCATGAATGTTAGACATGGTGGAAGCCAGAGATGTAGTTCATCTGAGCACTTTCCATGGAAGTAGCGATAGAGCAGTGAGAGACACACCACATCTCACCAGAGAGATAGAGAGAGAGAGGTTGCAGGGTGGGAATAATTCATCACCCAAAAGGATTCAAAGATGCTTTTGAACTCTATCAAGACTGGAAATTGAAATCTGGGTAGCTCCTGCCCAAATATGACAGCAGTAATCCATTTTCGGTCTGATCCGGCTCTTGTAAAGTTAGAGGATAGCATGAAGAGTCAGGTACTTACTGGAGGAGTACAGGGAGCTTATCATTTTACCTGCATCTTTAGTAATGGATCCTATATAGGAGTTCCACTTGAGTTTGGTTGTTTGGATTCTGATTGGTGGTCATAGAATGTAACTAGTTTGATTTTCAAAGCATTAAATTAACTAGTCATTTTTTTCCCTATTGGGAAGTTAGCACTAGATGGGATCTTGGCTAGGATGTCATACTAGACTCACTAATCTCACCTAACTGGATTACCACTTACTTTGATCCCTAGAAATTTTTCTCAATGGGAAAACCTTTTAGACTGTAAAAACCATTTAGACCAGTTCAGCACCCAGAAAAATGCCAAGTTTTAGGAGGATAGAATTTTTTACCTGCTTCAAAGATGGTGAAAGATTGTGGAACAAAATGGCACATATGTGGTCAAAAAAATCTCTGTACAAATATCTAAATTTTGTATTTGAAATTCTCTCAAAATGCTATGCTCTTTTATTTTAACCCAATAAATATTTAAATAGTTGAAGCCCTGTAGCCTTGTAAGGTTGTTTATCTTCAGTGTCAGTTTAGCAATCGGGCCTTGTAAAAGTTCACATGCTACTGAAGCCACAATAACATCATTTGGTGTGGTTGTGACTCCATATACCATGTTTCTACAGAAAGAAAAAAATAATATTGTATCCATCAAAAACATGGTTAATTGTAATACTGACACATGTAATAATTGTAATAATTTTGAAAGGACAAAAACATTTGACCAAAAAGTAAATGAATTGTTTATTTGAAACACACCAGGTTTAATGCACAAAATGGCATATTTGTACTGTGAAGGAAAAAGAACATGTCTAAAAATTTAGAAATAGAATTCTGTCTGTACTTTCTTCAGACCACTGTCTTTGATTAACACATTGCTAAAGAAAGGTAAAATAGTATAACATGGCTGAGTGAGCATTATTGCTATGTCTTTTCTTATTTATTTGTTTCCATGGTAACAACACAAAGAATCAAACAATGGTTTTACATACTCCTTTCTATTGGACCAACCTGTTCATAACTGTTCTGGATGTCTCTTTGCAATATTTGCAGACATTAGCCATTTCCAATGTTTCATAATCTCTAGTTAGTTCATAAATTAGTTCATAAATGAAATCCATCCTAACGTTTCTCTCTTTAACTTTTATTCTATTTCCCTCTTTATTTTTTCCTCCTTTACTTTCTTTATTTTTTCTCTATTACCTTTTTATCTTTTCCTCCCTTTTTTTCTTGTTTTACAGCCATATCACATTGAAACACCAGTTCCCATATGTTTACTGAAGTTAAGCAACATTGAGCCTGGTCAGAATCTAGATAGATGACTGCTTGGGAATACTAGGTGCTGTAAGCTTGGATGTGCAGTGGGTGTAATGGATAATAATTAAGAATTGGAAATTGAAAAGCTGAGTTCAAATTCCAGTCAGGTTCATTATATTCATCTTAAATGAAAAGTGGGAAAACTATGAATCTGTCTCTTCTTCCCTAGCTATGGGTAATTAGTAGAACTTGTATCAGTAAAAATTATTATAAATTTTTACAAGCCAAAAATATTTTCTGGCTTTAGGTAACCTGCAAAAGGTTGACAAGTTAGAAAGAACAAATCAATCACTCAACACTTTCTTAATTTATCTTTTCTCCCTTTCCTCCTTTTTCTTTTCTTTTTTATTTATCCTTTTACTCCCTTTCTCTCATTATCTTTTCCGCCATTTCTCTCATTATCTTTTCCGCCATTTTCATTCTTTATCTTCCATTTCCCTCTTTATCTCCCATTCCCCTCTTTATCTTCCCTTTCCCTCTTTATCTGTTCCTCCCTTTCCCTCTTTATCTCCCATTCCCCTCTTTATCTTCCCTTTCCCTCTTTATCTGTTCCTCCCTTTCCTCTTTATCTCCCATTCCCCTCTTTATCTTCCCTTTCCCTCTTTATCTGTTCCTCCCTTTCCCTCTTTATCTCCCATTCCCCTCTTTATCTTCCCTTTCCCTCTTTATCTGTTCCTCCCTTTCCCTCTTTATCTCCCATTCCCCTCTTTATCTTCCCTTTCCCTCTTTATCTTCCCTTTCCCTCTTTATCTGTTCCTGTCTTTTTTCTTTATTTTTTTTCTCTTTTTCCCTCTTTATCTTTTACTCTTTTCCTTTCTTTTTCACTTTTTCTATTTATTAATAAAAGAGCATACCAAAGTAGAAGTAATCTTTCATATGGTCACTCATGAAAAAATGTTAAAAATATTTCTTTGGTAAGAAAATTATGGAATTACTTTGTAACTTCAAAGCAATAAATATTGTTGCTCATGTTGTTAGCTGATTCATTAGGAAGATATTTTTATGATGTGTTCTTCAAAGATTGTAGCAAGGATTCAGAAGATTTTATGACCATGTCATGAAACGTTGCTCTATAAAACGTGGGGATTTGATTTTTCATATTCGACAAAAACAAATAAAAATAAATAATTCTCTACTTTTTGTTGGAATCTTTTGAGATATGAAATTATAATAATTATATTCTTAATTATTTGAATCAGTATGCTCACCTTAATTGTTATACACACAACAGGTAGATGTCTTCCATGCACTTTACAAAGGGAAAGGAAACAGACAATCAACTAACCTCTCTGGAAGTAATAAATTGAATAGACAAGTTAGAATCAGAACCCTTTCTAGAAGAGTGCAAAAGGGTCTCTAGAGATAACCTGATGGAAATTTTGACATTTTGTGTGCTAACAACATATTTCCAGTTTGCTTCTGACTTATATTGACAGGAAGAAGGCTTAGCTATGGAATCACAATTATCTTCAGGAATAACAAATATATACAGGAATAGTTTGAGGAAATGACTGTAGAAACATTACCACTAAAGCCATAAATATTGTTTAGATACATAGATGACACATTCATACTGTCCCAACTAGCAAAATGTACAAATGCAGCTGGTTCACATAAACACAATATTACCCCCTTCCCTTTTCCTGTTTCCCTGTGAGCTATAATCTCCAGCTATTCAAGTGTAATGTCAATCGACATCTCCAGTTGCCTTGATCTATCCACTACCCTCATCCTTTCTTCTACCACTCCTATCTGATCTTGCTCTAAATTTTCTGTAATCCCTTGCGTCCTAGTGGCTTCCCGCCTTGCTTGGGGTGAAATGCTTAAAAAAAAAAAAATACCTTCCATACAGTTATAACTCTGGTTCAATATTTTAAGCTATCTATTACACTGGTTGACATTTTTTCGACCCAAATGTTGTTGGGCAATGGACACATATTTCTAGGCTGTTTTTTCATGCTGAATCAGAAAATCGAGTTCATTTTTCCCCATCACATCATGTTTTCTCAGTACAGATAATTTCTATTTTACTTAAAATAGGCCAAAATGCCTAATTCACAGGGATATGCCATGGCTTAAATATGCAAGTGACATAGTTGAAACATTTCATTTCATATTAAGATGATTTATCATTCAAGAAAAAGTATCCAAATAACTTTCAAAATGAATTCTATTTCAGTTCAGATAAGCTACCTCAAAATACTTGATTTTATGAGTGATATCTCACTGGAAAATGTTCTTGTGCCCTCAATATTCTTAGCTTGTTAAAACTTTGTCATTTGTGTTTCTTCTCTACTTTTCATAGAAGAAGCTCTTTAGAAGTCATTCAAGAACAGCAATTTTAGTTTTTATTAGTAGTTTTCACTTTAAGCTCACTTTTAGATCATAAGATTTTATTGTATCACTTGAATTTATTGAGGTCTGATATTGTCATCCAGTCTCTGTATAACATACATAGGAGCATCAATAAATGATGATTGTTAGTATGTTAGGCAAGTGTATTTCAGACTAGAAAGATTAGAATGTTCTTTATCAGTGCTTAAAATAGCCACCAAACACCAGATAGGCATAGCCAACTAGGCACTTTGCAGATGGGATGTTAATAGGATGGCTGATTTCTGCTGGAGCATCAAAAGAGATCAACCTTTTCAAAAGGACCTTAGAGTTTCCAAGAAGAGAAGATTTATGTCTTTGGATGGACAAGAATGAATGTATTTTTCATTCCTTTGTATTTTCTTTGTCTGTTTTGATTCAAAAATTGATGACACATGCTTGCCTTAATTTAATTTTGTGTGAGATTTTTCTGAAAACTTTTTCTGAACTGATAATGTTGACTAAGTTATTGGGATACTTTTTCTTCTATAAGTTATTCTAACCTGAAAAGTTTAATGTTGGCTCAGGCATATCACTGTTAAATGGGTATATTGGCCTATTTTAAGAAAAATAGAAATTATCTGTGCGGAGAAAACATGATATGATAGGAAAAAAACGGACTTAATTTTTAGATTCAGCATGAAACAATAGCCCAGAAACATGTGCCCATTGCCAAACAACATTTGGGTAAAAAAAAGAAAATGTTGACCAGTGTTATTAGATAAGGAAGTGTCATCAATATCTTATAAAAAATGTAATAAATCAATGCCAAATCATGATTTTCTTATATAAATTGGCCAGTACTAGGAGAGTCTAGAGAAACAGACAAAGATAACAGATGACAAAATAGGTGAAGTCTGGGATAAACTTCCTTCCTACTTCTGCTGCTGCTACAACTTCTGTCACCAATGAATTCACAGAAAAAATAGTGATAATGTCAAAACCAAGTCTTGAAAATTACTGCTAGAATAATTTCACTGGTGAAAGATCATTGACAATGCCACATAGAAAGATTAATAATTCTTTACTCCTTTTACATTCTTCAATTTGTTTTCATTAGACTCATTGCTAGTTATGCACAGTGTTTATTGGTTTGTGCTTTGAAATATGTTTTCAACAAAGATGTTATCATGGCTACAAGGATTTCACTTAAAATCTTCAAATAATCATAACAGTCACTGAGCAAAATCCTCATAGAACCTGGTTACCTCTCAGCTTTCTAATGTCAATATGCGATGGGCAAGAAGATAAAAAAATAAAACACCACCAAGTGACGACATCAAAAATACTACATTTTTGGTAGTGCTAGGGCAGGTAACAAATGATCAACAAAAAAAACGAATGTGTGTCAGGTGACCAGGTTATACAGCTTACAATGAAAAAGAAAGCAGAAGACCAAATGGTCTTCCTGGGTATTCTAGTAACTCACATAGAGAATGATTTCAAGACATTCATATATCATAAACCAGAATTCACCAAACAATACCTGAACTCAATTCTACCATCCATAGAACAACAAGAAAAGAACTGTTCACTATCTCCAATAATTGTTCAAATTGCAAGCTAAGAATTGGCATTGAGACATAAAAGTTTGGACAAGCGAACATAGCATTCTGACATCAAGACAGGGACTGCATCAGATGAAACTGAGAATGGGCCTATTTTATTGGCTAGGAAAAAATCCCAGCATGCATGAAAATTTTATATTTTATGTATTGTACAAGTCCTGTTTTCAGAATCTTACAATTGTAATTAATTTTTTCTTTATAGCTGAACATTTCACTTCAAGAACTAAATTTTGTATTTGATTATCTGTATTTGAAGAAAAAATATGATGTTGCATTTGAAAGTTTTTAAAATGAATAAAATTGTACTAATGGCAAACAAACATGAAGTATCTCATAGAATCAATATTGAATCCTAAAGTTGATATAATGTGACCATTTCATTTTAATAAAATATCTTGTTCAGCAGAAATTTCTTTCAAATTTGTTTTAGAAGTTGAGCAATGGATACATAGCCAGAAGCAAGTAGATCTCCCTCCAACTGATTCATGAAACTCACAAAGAGATTACAATTTATATATATATATATATATATATATATATATATATATAAGATAATATCAGATCCATAAGTGGAAAGGATAATCCAAGTCGTTCTTTATAATATTAATGGCTGATGACTGCCAACAACCTGAAAACTGATTTTCTAGGTCAGATGTTTTGACTTCCTGTTAACTTTTTCTGTTATTATTCTTTCTTTACTTTTTAAAAAAAATTTTGTCTGGATAGATTTAAATTTATACCATTTATATCTTCAGTCTGATAAGACTTACTGCTCAAAATAAATCATGATTTATTACCATATATTCATGATATGTTAAGCTTTTCCTTGATGTGTATATATATATATATATATATATATGTAAAAATTCAGATATAAAGAAAAATATACAGGGGTTGGGCAAAATAATTGGAATAGGTGCAAATTCCACTACTATATTTCAAAGACCTATTATATTAAGAACTTTAACTAAAACTTCATAATTGTAGGTTATATCTGTTGTAAATACATTTATTTATCTAATTTACTGTATTTGTCTTATTTACTTTTAGAATTTAGTAAAATTTAAGCTAATTGCATGACCTTTTTGAGT